TTGGCAGAGCGGACAGCTGCAGCGTAAGACATCCCCCGAAAATAAGACCTAGTGTATTTTTCGTGAAAAAAAAAATAAGACAGTGTCTTACTTTTGGGGAAACACGGTATCATAAAAATGTGTTTTGTTTGACAAAACTAATGAAAACATTTTTAGTTCCCATTCATTTTGTCCATAACAAATGTTTAGTCTTGGCACATGTCTAGTAATATGTGTGCATGTGTGTGTGGGGGGGGATTTTTTGTTTTATTTTTTTTTGCTGTTGGGGGGCTAAACAGACCCCTGACATTCCCCTTTTGAAATAGGGAAAGAGATTGAGGACACAGAGTCCTCTGCCCATACAGATGGGGGGAGAGTAGCAGGGATCTGAGGAGGAGCTGGAGCCTGTGCCACTCCTCTTCTCCCTGCCAAGCCGTGGCTGTGATGGCCGCCTGGCGCCCATATTTCCAATTGGCGCCCTGTGCTCACCAGCTGCACCTGAGGCGAGTGCCTCACTCGCCCCATGGTAGCTACAGCCCTGCAGGAGATCCTGAATGGGCAAATGACAGCTTCTCACCCCATAGTTGAAGGTCTGTTATTCCCCCCCCCCTACTCCCTCTGCCGTCCGCCAACCCCCAAATCCTACACCCATCAATGCAACATGCTCACCCTATTATGTATTGGGAAGAAGAAACCGGGGGCTGCAGCAGTTCAGGCTTCAGAGATGGAAGCCTGTATTTGCATAATAAGCTCCTCCCAGTTGCCAGGGTGCAAGACAGGATAAAGAGAGCTATGAGCAGGTGCCTCTATGTCACCAAAAAGACAACCTTGAGAGAAGCATGGATGCTATCACCGATCTCTTCTTCACGAAATGCTAATCCTCTTTCAATACTTTAAAGCAGGGGAAGGCAGCCTTGGCATGCCAGCTGTGGTGAAACTACAAATCCCATGAGGTACTGCAAGAATCTGACATCCACCATCATGCATGAGTGCCGAGGTTGCCTACCCCTGCTTTAAAGCCTACATCCAGCCAAATTTTCGCACAGCGTCATGCCTTTCCATTATGCAGGCAGGCTCTTGATGTAAAGGGGGAACTCTGAATTGAAACTTCTGATGGGAAGGGGGGCTTCTGATGTGAAGGGGGGCTTCTGATGTGTAGGGGGGCTTCTGATGGGAAGGGGGGTTTCTGATGTTAAGAGAGCTCTTGGTGTGAAGGGGACTTGTGATGCCAAAAAAGGGGGACTCTGATGAGAAGGAGGGCTCCTAATATGAAGGGGGGCTTGTGATGTGAAGGGGTGGCTCCTGATTTGAAGGGGGGACTCTTATATAAAGAGTTTTTTTGCCTGGGATCCCCCCTTAAAATCCATACCAGACCTGTACCTGCGATAAGAGTCTGGTAAGTATTATTGAGAGGGATATACACCATTTTACACATTGTTGCATTACATTTTCTACATTTTAGACTGGGTTACCTTAAGATTTTGCAACTTTTAAAGGGTGCCATGAATTAATAAAAGGTTGGTCATTTTAACAGGACATGTAGTATCCCCTCTGGATTATAGCTATTGATGCCTTTCCAGTTGTAGTCATCTTGGAGACAGGAAGAGAGGAGAATTCTAGTAGTAGTAGAGGGTCTAACCATGACTTACTCTATCCAAAGCTTTAGCTATACCTGTAGATATATTTCCAACCACCTTCAAGTCTGGCACATGAGACAGTGAAGACTTCCATACCAGTAAAGAGATCATATATATAGGAGATTGTGGAAATTGGCAGCCATGTCTTCACTGATCCATGCAACCCATGTGGGCACTCTCTGTTTCCAAAAATGATGACCTTTCATTAGCTTATTTGATCCTGACATTAGAAAGATTATTTGTGGTCCGGTTTCCTCACCTCCTTCTTCTCCTCCTCCTCGCCTCCCGTCTCTTCTTCATCCACGAAGCGGAAGGAGTCCCGCTTTCCCCCTGGCCTTGCTGACCTCTGACCTTTGTATGGAGGGGACGCCATCTTCAGCCTCCTCTCCTTGCTCAGGACTCTCTCCAGTAGGTCTGTGATCTCCGACCTCTCGATTGACCCAAGGAGCACCATGCAATCTGCAAGGAAATACAAACATTACATGCAAACTGCGTTATAGGTACCTAAAGATGGGTCGGGGAACGGGTGTATGTCTGTGGGCTCCTCACAACTTGTCCAGACAACTTTATTCTGACAAATCTAAGAGAGAACAAATAATCTTTCCTGGCTCCTTGCCCCAGCTCTCCATTGTCCTGTCAATACATAAACATGTTCTCTCAGTCGTTACGAACATGCATGTTTATGGAGTGGTTGCTGTTTAGAGATTCTATACTACAGTTAGACCTCCCGATTGCTGTCTCATGTTGACTTTGTAGCTCCTATACATATACCAGAAAAGTAACGATTTCTCAGTTTGTACCAAGGGAATCGTTTTAACCTTTTTGGCACAGCAACTCTTGTGAAGTCACAGATTACAGAAAACCAGTATGCTGAAATTGTTATGAAGAGGCATCTAGAGCTTTAAACTTTTTTAAGGGTTATAGGTGGAACATGGTGGTTGGATTTAGCTCATCGCTTCCTGTATGTCTTATATGCTCTAATAGTGAGATCTCCTGCCATCATGTCAAATAAATAAAAGGTCCTGCAGGGATGGTGGGAATCCCTCATAATGGGCACAGCAGGTATACAGACCCAGGAACTCAGTGCAGGGATGGTGGGAGCTCCTCATAATGACCACAACAGGTGTACAGACCCGGGAACTCAGTGCTGGAATGGTGGGGATGCCATATAGTGAGCAAAGCAGGTGTACAGACCCAGGAACTTAGTCCTGGAATGGTGGGGATCCTTCATAGTGAGCACAGCAGGTGTACAGACCCGGGAACTCAGTGCAGGAATGGTGGGAGCTCCTCATAATGGGCACAGCAGGTGTACAGAGCCAGGAACTCAGTGCAGGAATGGTGGGAGCTCCTCATAATGACCACAACAGGTATACAGACCCGGGAACTCAGTGCTGGAATGGTGGGGATGCCTTATAGTGAGCAAAGCAGGTGTACAGACCCAGGAACTTAGTCCTGGAATGGTGGGGATCCTTCATAGTGAGCACAGCAGGTGTACAGCCCCGGGAACTCAGTGCAGGAATGGTGGGAGCTCCTCATAATGACCACAACAGGTATACAGACCCGGGAACTCAGTGCTGGAATGGTGGGGATGCCTTATAGTGAGCAAAGCAGGTGTACAGACCCGAGAACTCAGTGCAGGAATGGTGGGAGCTCCTCATAATGACCACAACAGGTATACAGACCCGGGAACTCAGTGCTGGAATGGTGGGGATGCCTTATAGTGAGCAAAGCAGGTGTACAGACCCGAGAACTCAGTGCAGGAATGGTGGGAGCTCCTCATAATGACCACAACAGGTATACAGACCCGGGAACTCAGTGCTGGAATGGTGGGGATGCCTTATAGTGAGCAAAGCAGGTGTACAGACCCGAGAACTCAGTGCAGGAATGGTGGGAGCTCCTCATAATGACCACAACAGGTATACAGACCCGGGAACTCAGTGCTGGAATGGTGGGGATGCCTTATAGTGAGCAAAGCAGGTGTACAGACCCAGGAACTCAGCTCAGGAATGGTGGGAGCCCCTCATAATGGGCACAGCAGACCTTTTAACATAAATAAACTGAAGCCATATTTGCCCGGTTAACTTACCAGGAGACTCCACTAGAGGGAGCGTTTTGTGCGTGCAGGTCTTCACTACGTGCATGAGGTCTCTATAGGTGCAGCGGGAAGATACGTAGCGCACATTCCCCATCATGATGTCTTCTACAAAAATGTTGTATTTACTGTGAAGAAAATTCAGGAATAAAGTGTTTGCATGAAGGAAGATCTCTATGGCCCAGCCGGGAGACGCCTGTCGCTGCCTAGCTCTAAATCATTTTATTTGCTAACCTAACATGTTATTCGGGTGATTTATTTCTGCCACTGAAACATTGTTGTGAAAATAAAATGAACAAGTCAATTTAGAGAAGCCAAAAGCCAACACTTCCTCAAATCAAAATGATTTAAAAGGACCTTGTCATCAGACCATTCATTTCAACCAAAATCTTCCCATGAAGTAATCTGTGCATTTACTGTTACTTCCCTGCTAACACCTCCCTTGTGTCATCACCCAAAGGCACTGAGAATGCTGCTAGGCACCACCAACTTGGATGTAACTGGGGACTTTATGGTGTAGGGGAGGAGAGTGTAAGCTCCTCTGTACAGAAACTAATGTGACTGGCTCAGTGTTCTCTGTACAGCACTGCGGTATATATATGTCAGAGCTATATAAATGTAGAATAATAGTGTGTGACTATGGGGGGACATTAGAGTGTAAGCTCCTCTGTACAGAGACTCCAATGTGACTGGCTCAGTGTTCTCTGTACAGCACTGCGGTATATATATGTCAGAGATATATACATGTAGAATAATAGTGTGTGACTATGGGGGGACATTAGAGTGTAAGCTCCTCTGTACAGAGACTCCAATGTGACTGGCTCAGTGTTCTCTGTACAGCACTGTGGTATACACTGAGTGGCCAGATTATTATGACCACCTGACGTTTTTTAGGCAAATTAGCTATAATTTGGCACTGAAGTTGCTAGAGGGCCAGACCATTATAAATAGGGAAGCGGGTTGTTTACCACGACAGTAGAAGTGATTTGCTTCTGAAGATACGGGGAAACAACGCGATTTAACAGCCTTTGAACGTGGGATGATTGTTGGCGCTCGGAGCCATGGAGCGAGTATCAGCAAAACAGCAGAATGCGTTACATGTTCAAGAGCAGCTGTTGTTAAAGTGTTTAAAGACCGGACTGTAAGCCGAAAATCTGGGTCTGAACGTGCGAATTGTGGCCGTCAGCGACTAGTCAATGAAACCAATCCATGTGTGACAACGATGTCTCATGTTCCCTGAATCACCCTTTCACAATCTGAGCCCGATGGATCCTGTCATTGTCGTCTTGGAATATGCCCAATGTGCCATCAGGGAAGAAAAAAAATCAATTGATGGGAAAAATCTGGTCATTTAGTATATTCAGGGGGGCAGCTGACCTCATTTATTGGGGACATAACATTGCTGAACCTAGACCTGACCAACTGAAGCCACCCCGGATCATAACACTGCCCGAAATCCAGGTGGTGACTTTTTTTTTGGGCCGGGCAGTGTATATCATTTGAATCAGTCTGAGGGGGCAAATGTCCCCCATCCCAATCCTCTCTGGGATTGAAAAGAACTAAACAGGGTCATGTACGGTGCTCACCATTTGGAAAGGGGAACATTTTAATGCCATTCAGAATACAACATTGGTCTTATAATTTATTTGGCTACTGTTCCTTGGATTTCACAAGAGATTAGACTGGACATTGCTCATTCAATTGCCGAATGTGGCCGATCTGAAGGGGTTAAACAAGTTGAGGGTGTACCAGCCAGTCCCATCAGATGTTTATAAGTTATTCTACTCGCTCCTTATTACTTGTAGAGACTACAAAGCTCACACTGTTCCTGAATACTGATTGTTAGCTAATTACTCCTATTAAACATTTGTGATTCGGCTGCTCAATGCGTAAATGTCAGTACATTAGTTCTCCGTGCCAACAGCTCAATGCTGCTAGTTTTCAGTGTGGAGCTTGCGGCACAAGGAACAGAAGCGTCCATGCGGTGACAATGTAGCCAAGTGTCATTTTTAGCAGTTAATAACACTTACAAAGTACATATATGGGGCTGCCAAGAGGTTGCTCTGTCTGTCCATCCATTCCTAAGATGTACAGAGCACAGCAAGTCAGGTGACCTTTTACTGCAGTTAACTACCTTGTTTCACTGTAACCCCAACACTAACCCTCCCTGTAGCCCTAGCACTGACCTTTCCTATAACATTAATCCTCCCTGTAACCCTAACACTGACTCTTCCTATAACATTAACCCTCCCTGTAACCCTAACACTGACCCTTCCTATAACCCTTACCTCTACCCTCCCTGTACCCCTAACACTAACCCTTCCTATATCCCTTACCTCTCCCCTCCCTGTAACCCTAACTCTGCCCCTTCCTATAACCCTTACCTCTACCCTCCCTGTACCCCTAACACTAACCCTTCCTATATCCCTTACCTCTCCCCTCCCTGTAACCCTAACTCTGCCCCTTCCTATAACCCTTACCTCTACCCTCCCTGTACCCCTAACACTAACCCTTCCTATATCCCTTACCTCTCCCCTCCCTGTAACCCTAACTCTGCCCCTTCCTATAACCCTTACCTCTACCCTCCCTGTACCCCTAACACTAACCCTTCCTATATCCCTTACCTCTCCCCTCCCTGTAACCCTAACTCTGCCCCTTCCTATAACCCTTACCTCTACCCTCCCTGTACCCCTAACACTAACCCTTCCTATATCCCTTACCTCTCCCCTCCCTGTAACCCTAACTCTGCCCCTTCCTATAACCCTTACCTCTACCCTCCCTGTACCCCTAACACTAACCCTTCCTATATCCCTTACCTCTCCCCTCCCTGTAACCCTAACTCTGCCCCTTCCTATAACCCTTACCTCTACCCTCCCTGTACCCCTAACACTAACCCTTCCTATATCCCTTACCTCTCCCCTCCCTGTAACCCTAACTCTGCCCCTTCCTATAACCCTTACCTCTACCCTCCCTGTACCCCTAACACTAACCCTTCCTATATCCCTTACCTCTCCCCTCCCTGTAACCCTAACTCTGACCCTTCCTATAACCCTTACCTCTACCCTCCCTGTAGCCCTAACACTGACCCACTGTGTAGCCCTAACACTAACCCTCAACTTAACCGTTACAATTACACTCCCATATTTAAACGTAACCCTCTGTATGCATACACACCTATCCTGTGACTGGGATCAGGGTTGGTGGTAAAGACCAACCCTTCCTGCACCAAAAAACACCAACATGAGGTGCCGGCATAGAAAATGCATGTCCTAACACTTTTCAGTCAGGGTATCAGAGACCGTCCATATGACTATTTATATCATCATTTTTGTCCCTGATGAATAATCAGTTTAGTACGGAGGGGAGGAGTAGTCATCAGAGGAAAAAGTAAAAATATTTATCTATGATTTTGTGGCCCAAATGGTGGTAGTAACCATGAAGGAACACCGGATCTGTCCATCCATTCCTAAGATTTACAGAGCGCAGCAAGTCAGGTGACCCTTTACTGCAGTTAACTACCTTGTTTCCCCGAAAATAAGTCCTAGTACTTTTTTGGGGAATTGCTAAAATATAAGACCTACCCCGAAAATAAGACCTAGTTGTGGCCATCCCCAGGGCCGGTGGTGGCATAAGGGGGGAACTTGAAGAACCGCGGGAGAGAATCAGCGGTGCCAATGAAGCCAGCGCTAGAGGAAGCGAGGCGGCAGCGGAGGGAGCAGAGCCGCATAAGCCAATGCTTCCTCTATAGCTCCGGCTCCTGTCACAGGCGGACATGAGCTCCGCCTGTGAGGAACCGATAGTGAAAGCGCGCTCATTCTGGTTACCAAATTGCTCCTGGAAAGGTACGGAACCCTCTGATTGCCCCGATCACCCTATTCTTAACTTTGCCATTTTGGATTATTTAATTTGGATTTGCATTAACTTTGGATTGTTGTACATTAAAAAACAAAATAAGACCTACCCCGAAAATGAGACCTAGTGTGTTTTTGTGAGCCAAACAAAATCTAAGACAGTGTCTTATTTTCGGGGAAACACGGTAATACATCAAGTTGATCTCCCTGCCCCTTGCCTGTGACTGGACAATGAAGGAGCAGCAGAGACTGGTGAAGGAACCAAAAAAAACAAAAAACTATTAGACCATTGGAGTCTTAAAAAAACACCTTAAACTACCTTAATTTTTATCTTCCCTATTGACCCCAATGGATTTTGCCAAAATTTTGCCAAAATATCAGAAATTTAGCAAGAAATTTCAGCAGCAAAATGAGTCAGATTCCATTATAATCCCTACTAGTAAGCATTCTTAAAAAGAGATTTCCCTTTCGATGTCACACACATCCGCACTCGGCAGCGATAACACAACATGGAAATCCTCTCCCGCTATTTATAGACGGATAAAAAGGGTTCCTGAAGACCCGTGGGGGGGAAAGGTCTAATTAAGGGATGAGGGTCCCACATTGCCGGAGAGCTTCAATAACAACTTTCCAGGAATGAGAGCGCAGCTTTCATCATAAGCGTATCGTCTGCGCGCGGTCAGAGTGCACGGGGCTCGTTTGAAGCTGTCCGTGCTCTACCACAGACCCTAATGACAGCCCGTACTACAGAGTCCATGTGTTGTACTGTCACCTGGAACTGTCACTTCTCCCCACTCTGTTCTTATTGTTGCCTTGGTTATAGTCTATGTAAACTGACTGTTGTTTCTCCACATCGAAAAGACTCATCGTTTCCATATAAACCAGCTCCGGCCAACAAGTGAACTCAGGGAATAATGCCGACACTACCCAGAGGAAGGGGCATCTGTGCAAGGTGGCTGAGGGGTTAGTACTGCTGCCTTGCAGTGAGGGGGTCCCGTGTTTGATCATTTCAGTTATTTTAACCCTAACCCTCCTTGTAAGTCTCACACTAAGCTTTCGTGTAAAGGATTCCTGTAACCCTAACACTAACCCATCCTGAAACCCTAACGCTAACCCAACCTGTACCCTAACACTAACCCTTCCTGTTATCCTAATACTACCCCTGCCAATAACCCTAACCCATCCTGTAACCCTAACACTAACCCTCCCTGTAACCATAACACTATCCCTCTCTGTAACCCTCAAACTAGCCCATCCTATAACCCTAACACTAACCCAACCTGTACCCTAACAATAACCCTCCCTGTTACCCGAAAAATAACCCATCCCGTTGTCCTAATACTACCTCTGGCAATAACCCTAACACTAATCCTCCCTGTAACCATAACACTAACCCAACCTGTACCCTAACAATAACCCTCCCTGTTACCCTAAAACTAACCCATCCTGTTATCCTAATACTACCCCTGGCAATAACCCTAACACTAATCCTCCCTGTAACCCTAACACTATCCTTCTCTGTAACCCTAACATTAACTCTCCCTACAACCCCAACACTAACCCACCCTGTAACCCTTACACTAATCCTTCCTATAACCCTAAAGCTGGCCATACACTGCTCTATTTTTGTCATTCAACCCGTGGGCTGAACACTTCAAGCGCATTGATCGAGAAATCCACGCTGTTTAATTTGTATTCTGGCAACAGCCGATGGCTGTTCATTGGCTGCCAACTCTGTTCATACGAAGATTTTCCAACCGGTTCCTTCAGTCAGCTGATCGAGGGATGTTCCTCAAGAACCGGCCGAAATTTACACAGTGTATGGCCATCTTAACACTGACCCTTCCTATAACACTAACCTTCCCTGTAACCCTAACACTGACCCTTCCTATAACCCTTACCTCTACCCTCCCTGTAACCCTAACACTAACCCTTCCTATATCCCTTACCTCTACCCTCCCTGTAACCCCAACACTAACCCTTCCTATATCCCTTACCTCTACCCTCCCTGTAACCCTAACACTAACCCTTCCTATATCCCTTACCTCTACAATCCCTGTAACCCTAACATTAACCCTCCCTGTAACCCTAACACTACCCCTTCCTATAACCCTTACCTCTACCCTCCCTGTAACCCTAACACTGACCTTTCCTATAACATTAACCCTCCCTGTAACCCTAACACTACCCCTTCCTATAACCCTTACCTCTACCCTCCCTGTAACCCTAACACTGACCTTTCCTATAACATTAACCCTCCCTGTAACCCTAACACTACCCCTTCCTATAACCCTTACCTCTACCCTCCCTGTAACCCTAACACTGACCTTTCCTATAACATTAACCCTCCCTGTAACCCTAACACTACCCCTTCCTATAACCCTTACCTCTACCCTCCCTGTAACCCTAACACTGACCTTTCCTATAACATTAACCCTCCCTGTAACCCTAACACTACCCCTTCCTATAACCCTTACCTCTACCCTCCCTGTAACCCTAACACTGACCTTTCCTATAACATTAACCCTCCCTGTAACCCTAACACTACCCCTTCCTATAACCCTTACCTCTACCCTCCCTGTAACCCTAACACTGACCTTTCCTATAACATTAACCCTCCCTGTAACCCTAACACTACCCCTTCCTATAACCCTTACCTCTACCCTCCCTGTAACCCTAACACTGACCTTTCCTATAACATTAACCCTCCCTGTAACCCTAACACTACCCCTTCCTATAACCCTTACCTCTACCCTCCCTGTAACCCTAACACTGACCTTTCCTATAACATTAACCCTCCCTGTAACCCTAACACTACCCCTTCCTATAACCCTTACCTCTACCCTCCCTGTAACCCTAACACTGACCTTTCCTATAACATTAACCCTCCCTGTAACCCTAACACTACCCCTTCCTATAACCCTTACCTCTACCCTCCCTGTAACCCTAACACTGACCTTTCCTATAACATTAACCCTCCCTGTAACCCTAACACTACCCCTTCCTATAACCCTTACCTCTACCCTCCCTGTAACCCTAACACTGACCTTTCCTATAACATTAACCCTCCCTGTAACCCTAACACTACCCCTTCCTATAACCCTTACCTCTACCCTCCCTGTAACCCTAACACTGACCTTTCCTATAACATTAACCCTCCCTGTAACCCTAACACTACCCCTTCCTATAACCCTTACCTCTACCCTCCCTGTAACCCTAACACTGACCTTTCCTATAACATTAACCCTCCCTGTAACCCTAACACTACCCCTTCCTATAACCCTTACCTCTACCCTCCCTGTAACCCTAACACTGACCTTTCCTATAACATTAACCCTCCCTGTAACCCTAACACTACCCCTTCCTATAACCCTTACCTCTACCCTCCCTGTAACCCTAACACTGACCTTTCCTATAACATTAACCCTCCCTGTAACCCTAACACTACCCCTTCCTATAACCCTTACCTCTACCCTCCCTGTAACCCTAACACTGACCTTTCCTATAACATTAACCCTCCCTGTAACCCTAACACTACCCCTTCCTATAACCCTTACCTCTACCCTCCCTGTAACCCTAACACTGACCTTTCCTATAACATTAACCCTCCCTGTAACCCTAAAACTGACTCTTCCTATAACAGTAACCCTCCCTGTAACCCTAACACTGACCCTTCCTATAACCCTTACCTCTACCCTCCCTGTAACCCTAAAACTAACCCTCCCTGTAGCCCTAACACTAACCCTCAACTTAACCGTTACAATAACACTCCCATATTTAAACTTAACCCTTTGTATGCATACACACCTATCCTGTGACTGGGATTAGGGTTGGTGATAAAGACCAACCCTTCCTGCACCAAAAAACATGCATGTCCTAACACTTTTCAGTCAGGGTATCAGAGGCCATCCATATGACTGTTTATATCACCATTTTTGTCCCTGATGAATGATCAGTTTAGTACGGAGGACTAGTCCGCAGAAAAAGTAAAGATATTTATCTATGATTTTGTGGCCCAAATGGTGGTAGTAACCATGAAGGAACACCGGATGAACCAGCATGTCCACATGTATTGGGGGTGGATCTGTGACCAAACTGTATTGCTGAGCTATAGCAAGAAAAAAGTGAGGTCACCAGCCTGCTGGAGGTGCCTGGGTCACATGACCGGCAGAATCATGTGATCCATGATGATATCATTTGGCAAGTAAGAGATTCATTTAACAACACGGCTCACCTGACGGAGCAGCCGGACAGGTCCGGCAGGTACGGCAGCTTCTTCGTCTGTATGATGGAGTCGTAGAGGCTCGGCTGGAGGTTTTGCGCCACCACATTCGCCATGATGACGGAGAAGAGCATGGGCAGGATGTGCGATATCTGACCAGTCAGCTCGAAGCAGATGACGGCGGTGGACACCGTGTGGGTGACGGCTCCGGTGAGCGCGGCCGCTCCTGAAAGAGGAAAACAAATGACTTGTAACAAAGTGAGAACGTGAAACTTCCCAAAGAGAACAAACTGTGAGAAATGTGACAACTTGTATTGTGATGCACCTGGAATGGATGTAGACGACTTAACTACTTGAGTCCCGACATGTTGCACCCCCTTCCTGTCCAGGCCATTGTTTCGGTTTGACTGACAATCACTCTGTCATGCAACACTGTATCCAAAGGAACTTGATATCTGTCTTTTTAGAGCTTTCTTTTGGTGGTATTTTATAAGCGGTGGGAATTTTCATCTTTTACTATATTATGGAAAAAAACACCCCCAAAAAAGTAACAAAAATCACTTCCCCTTTCTGTTATAAAAAAATAAAAGTACCAAAACCCCCGAAATTACCCCTTTTTGGAAAGTAGACACCCCAAGGTGATCTGATTTTTTTGCCACAGTTCTTCAGAAATGAAAAACATGCCGGTATTGAAGGGGTTAAAATACGAAGCTTGAGTAATGTCTAGGGATGCACCAATACCGTTTTTTTTCAGTATTGAGTAACGATATTTATCTTTCGGTACTCGCCGATACCGAGTACCGATTTTATGGAGCCGGCTTCCCGGGCAATCGGGAAGTCGGGCGGTGTGTCATTACCCGCAGCCCGGCTTCTTGATTGCCCGGGAAGCCGGCCCCATGCTGTTTGGCCGGCTCGATGTTGATTGGCCAGGAAGCCGGCTTCTCGGCCAACCAGCATAGAGCCGCCTTCCCGGCCAATCAGGAAACCAGGCGATGAGTTATTAGCCACAGCCCGGCTTCCTGATTGGTCGGAAAGTCTGCTCCATGTTCCCTCGCGGCACTGCCGTTTAGAGGAAATCTCCCTCTGACCGGAAGTTCCGGTAGCGGGGTAGTTATCGGAGCAGTACTCGGTATCAGCACCGGTGCATCCCTAGTAATGTCCATAAGATACATTACATGTACAGGTCAGAGGGAGGAGAAGGTGAAGAAGGGGTTAATGGTTCAGTTCAGATACAGTAGGAGGATGGGGATGGAGGGGGGGGTAGTGTACAGATGTCCCGGGTAAGTATAGGGAGGGGTTAATATGCATGTCAGATGGAGCTGACATATACTGTAGAGGGGTGAGTGGGTGCTGCTACTAGATGACACTGTTTCTGGCAATGGATGATACTGGTACTTATTCACCAAATGTCACCCGGTACCAGACGGCTGGTCGGAGAGCAAAGTGCTATCCACAGCCATTGATCACAATGTATGATGCTGTGATCGGCGGCGCAACCAGACGGGTGCACATCATTACGTTACACGGGACGCCGGCAAAGGGAGGCGGGGACATTCATCCAGCGGGATAAGGTATACCGCCGGGGTCCCCTCCTTTGCAGCTTGTCGGGTTCTCAGTCTACGACCGAGTGTCGGACTTTTCAAAGTGGGTGACACCAAAATAATGTCTATCAGCCATTTTGGTGTCAACCCCCTCCGATGGTGTCACCCGGCGCGGCCTGCACACACCCCCCACGCCCCCCTTGTGATGCCACTGGCTGTGATTGGTCACAGTGATTACATGGGTCACCATTCTGTAGCCAATGGACAATGCAAACACTGTAAAGCGCCCGTGCGCGCTAAAAGGTGCGCACGAGCACAGAGAACAAACATTTGCTGGGAGTTCTTTAAACTAAAAGCGATGAATTGGGCTATAGGACTGTTAGTAGAGGACGGCGTGCTGTGACTGAATAGAAGGAGTACGCACGCTTTGCATCTATGACTTTTCGAGTTGGGGGAGGGGGGGAAGGGGGGTCCCCATAAACTGGGAGCCTTATTTCTC